GGCTCCAATACATTACGAGCCCCCCCCCCCCCCAGCCGTGACTTTTGTTCACGTTGAACAACTTGCTTCCTTTAAACCAGTGACGTCATTAAAATTAGCCAATTATTGCAAACGTTTTTGGTTGGTAACACTCGCACTGCAAAATGTTAGCCAATAAGTGATCAAAATATGTACGACATTGACAACAATATCAATCCAAATTACTCGCTCTAACAACTTAATCAAAAGGTACTCAGCCAAACTAGCATATGTTCATGACTTAGTATTGATGTGTTGTGGTACTTCGTCGAAAAAAAAAATTGTGGGGGGGGGGGCAAAAAGATATGTTTGCCCTCATCCTGGAAGATGGGGAGGGGCGCCGTGCCGCCGCTGCCCCCCCCCCCCCGCTTCCGCCGCCTCTGCCTACCATCCGACCGCATGTAGGTACAACTCGTGTGCTGCGTACAGGAAACGTTTTGATGTTTAAAAATGAGATAGGTACAGCTAAATTGAAATCGTTTTTGCTATTTTCAGCAGACAAGAGGCAGATGCATTAGGGCCGCCAGGCTGTAGCAATATATGTAACATGTTCTGGGGAAGAACCATAGGGCCGGATAAGTGAAGCGCAGCGCCCATTTTGGTGCAAGTCCCTTATGCAGTATCTATAGAAAGGCCTTGGACTGGTGAATTGCAAAACGTGGTCCCTGGGGCAGATATTGCATGAAAACTAATTTATCAGGATGGAATTTCGTGGCCGGCAGCAGCGATTGCCTCTCGCGCGTATCCTCGAGAGTATGCGATATGACTGTAAAGTGCAGGGTCGGGCAGGTCGGTAAGGTGCACGTATATTATTATTTCTGACGCTTACGCCTCTACGGCGGCGCATGCCATATTCATTTTTTTAAGAATCGTCACTGTTTTAATCATCTTCAAATAAAAAAAAATGTTTTTATTTTTTTCAGCTTATTAAATTACAATTTCGCTGCCTATATTCCGGCGTAGTTGGCCATGGTTTACCGACGGCAATAGATAAAAATAGAGCCATACATAGGTACTGGATCCCCGACGTCCTCATTTCAATTGGCCTTATCATACCTAAATAATCATAACAAGTGACAATCCGAGCAGTGTAATAAGAATTTATTGCAATGCAGGACTATCAAGTATCAGAAGTTATCAAGCCTGGTTGTCCTGGTTGACAGTAACATACGCCGGCGCTCACCGCTAAGAGCGGCATGGAATGATGCTCTGGGAGTGTCATGAATCGTCATGTTATGTAGCATTGGACTACTGTGTCTGTAAATACAAAGTTCTCTCTCTCTCTCTCTCTCTCTCTCTCTCTCTCTCTCTCTCTCTCTCTCTCTCTCTCTCTCTCTCTCTCTCTCTCTCTCTCTCTCTCCCCCTCCCTCCCTCCCTCCCTCCCTCCCTCCCGTTTTTCGGTATTCGGGAACGCCGTCCGCTCGAGGCTGGCTGGCTGATGCTATGTGTATGAGATGGGGCGATCCGGCGCTGGAGGAGCCGGGGGCTCGAGCGGGCTGAAACCAGTGCCTAGTCCCTAGTCGCTGCATGCACCTCTCCATGTCTGCGCCTCACGGGCGGGGCTCGTGCAATGGGTGACCCCCGTCAGTGTCCTCTGTAGCGGCCGGTTCGCGGAAATTGGATATTCGGGGATAATGGGGCGGACATCTTAAGGACGGTCATTTGCCGTTTTTATGCACCGTGCTGTTAATTCACTGCTTCGTCGCTGGTTAGGAGAAATGGCGACATTTTATGATCTATGCCAGGCGTGGTCAGAATCTGAATGCAAAATGGCCGTCACGGTGCCACATATTCGAAATCGAATCTCAGCTGATGATCTTATTTGCGATTGCAAATACCTACCGTAAATTAGATAATTAGTAGGGCTGCTGCTAGCAAAAGGCCGTGTCCCACTTTTCCTGAATCGATTTCTTTGTGTGTGTCGGATTCTTTGAAACTTTACTTAACGCGTCTCCGGGGCTGCACTGCGACGAAGATCGGAATATGAGTAAATATTTCCGGTAAATACTCCGTAATGAGATGTAAATTGCGATCTCGCTCAAGCCCAGAGAAGACATCCTCTATGGTCTGCAGCCTGCAGCTCTTGGCCTTCGACGCTGCTTTGTCTCCTTCGGTTATAGGTCTAATGGTAAAAACGTGATACACATAGCAGTACATTCAGTCTTGATAAGAGCAATGCATATTCAGTTATAGGACGTCATACATTGTGATACACAGGCACCGTTTCACAATTGATACACTTATGCGCTTGGAATCATGATTGATTAATGTGAAAAAATGCCTTCATTTTTGTTTTGCTCGTATTTTGTGACAATTCAGGCCTTATTTATGCATCGATTTTCATCCGAGCTCTCGATGGTCTCGATAACTCATTGGGGAACAGCGATCGAAAATCAAAGTCAGTAAACCTCCCATTCTGCTTCTGGGGTATTGATTCTTTCTGAATTAGTCATAAGTCGACCGACCGTACGTTTTAACAAACATTATGTGGCCAGCCTCTGGCGAGACGTGACTGTTGTGCTGGAGCGCCGCGTACAGCGCTATACATGCCGCGCCGCTACACAAAATACGATGTGATCTGCTTTTTTAGACAGTGAGACGGTGAATTAGTGTATATTGCTGGCTGTTTCCACACTGCTAGCAGGTAAATAACAATGTTCCAAAATTATGAGTGTTTGTGTAGAGTAATTCGCAGCTGCACGCAGAGGAACAAAGTTGAAATTCTGAATGTGAGTGGGGAGCGTTTTGGCCGGCATTACCACAGCTCCGATCTCGCCGAGTGACAGAGGAACACAGGGGAGCTGTTACACCAATCAGTCGATCCGGCTGTAAGCATCAACAGCCACAATTGTACCCGACGGGCAGTTCGAGCTGTGGTCGGAAACTGCTAGAAGTCCAGCTTAGAAACTAGGAAGGGTGTAACTCTGAATTTGTTCCCTGTCCATCACTCGCGAAAATGCAGAATACAGCCATCAGCTCGCTGATCCTCTGCTATGAATTAGTTATGATGCCTTCTCCCGTTGTGGCTTGAGGGATGATTTAAAGCGTTGGTGTGTTCAACACACCCAGCAGGCCGCGGTAAACCACGAGCCCGTGGGCAAATCGGCCCGGGTCTGCGCCGAGCCCCATATCGTCGACTGGCGCCGCGATGGCAGACCCCCCCCCCCCACCCGCTTCGGGCAGCAGACCGCCTCCTGACCCGCTCCTGGCAGCAGACCGCCTCCTGACCCGCTCCGGGCAGCAGACCGCCTCCTGACCCGCTCTGGGCAGCAGGCCGCCTCCTGACCCGCTCCGGGCAGCAGACCGCCTCCTGACCCGCTCCGGGCAGCAGACCGCCTCCTGACCCGCTCTGGGCAGCAGACCGCCTCCTGACCCGCTCCGGGCAGCAGACCGCCTCCTGACCCGCTCTGGGCAGCAGACCGCCTCCTGACCCGCTCCGGGCAGCAGGCCGCTAGGACAGCCGGCCGGCTGGTGTGCCCGTTTTCACCAATGGCACCGACACCGACCGGCATGAGCCGAATTTCTCGCAATGGTCCTTATAGCCCCACTCCGATCGTAGTACGGCTGCTTAATGTCAAACGAAAACTTACGGCACGCTTGATTTGCTCTTTAAAATCGCAAGGGACCTAATACGTTCGCAGAGCCAATCGTAAAGAGCGAAACTACGGCACGTTAAGGCTTAACTTGACTGCAATCTTTCCTTTATACTAGCAGTGCGGGAGAACAGTGCAGCTGCTTCTGGTATTCTTTTCTTAATTTTTCATTTCATTATATCTTTTTGGCAGAGGTAAGAGACGCGTTTTACGAGTATGTCTCTCGATAAGAGCACTATCCTGCATTTTAAGTATTGTATCATTCCCGATAATTTAAAAGGTTACAAGAATATTTCTATTCTTTCTAACGGAAATTTGTTTCTACTTTCTGTAGGAAAAGCCATTGATATTGGTCCAAAGCATGTTGTCATGTCATTTATTGTTAAATTATGTTATGTATGCGACACGCTATGGATATTGGCTATGAAGTGTTATGGTCACCGTCCTGGATGTGGAGATGTGCATATATATGTTTCGCTATTTTGTGATTTCTCCCAATAACTGCACCACAATGCATGAACACCTTGTGGAGACTGAGCCAATGCAAAGCAGCGAAACCAGTCTGACGCCATATTCCTGTCCCCGTCTAGACAGCGCCGATGACTCGGAAGCCGACGGCGGATCTCGATACCAATATGCCATAAAGCACTGTCAGGTCGTTAACCAAAGTATCGCAGCATAGATCGGCTCTGATTTAGACGCGTCAGACCGGTGAGCTGTGGGCTCCGATTTGATTTGCGGCGCTGTATCTTCCGAAATCGTCCGTCTCGGCCGCCGATAAGTCACAGAGCCGATGGCGGCCGGTTCCTTCCCACTCTCGTAACGGAGCGAGCGGCGCGCGCTGGCTCCCCATGCCGTCCACGCGGGCCGAACCATTCGACTGGACTGGCGCCCTTCTCGTCAGACGAAAAGGAGCCGCCCAGGGGGAATGGGGAGCACTCGCACGTCTGGCGGCCGGTCTGCCCGGCTATATAATGAAACGAGCGTCCAAGTGGCCCGCAATGAGCCACTCGGCGACAGCCGTGCCGGACGGTCACAAGGCGGAGGACCGGGCGACTCTGATTGTCCGTGCCTGCCAGAATGCTAGGAACTGATCGACGAACTTTCCACTCGAGATTCGTTGTGCATGTTCGCGGTCTCATTTGTACGTCTAACGTCCATGCCTGTAACTGTGTAGCTTCGTGAGTTACACATGACATTTGTTTTGTCACTCGTGGCCGCCATCTACCCGACTGACAGACATACGAGTGCCGTTTTTCCGCTCTGCAGTGTTGTGTCTGTTCTGTACAGCGTGTGATTCTGATGGCTCTGTTCTGTCGGCAGTGTGTGATTCTGATGGTTCTGTTCTGTCAACAGCGTGTGATTCTGATGGCTCTGTTCTGTCGGCAGTGTGTGATTCTGATGGCGCTGGCTGCCGGACGGTCTCGGATCAGGACAGTGAAGCCCACGTTACACACGGAGACGGCCATCCACATAGCCGAGCGACTGACACAGGTGAGGTTCTCCCGTGAGGCGACGGACGCTCACAGTTGGGAGAGAGCGGCAGCGGAGATATCCCCACAGTTGGGAGCAAATGGCATCGGAGATATCCCCACAGTTGGGATGGAATGGCAGCGGAGATATCCCCACAGTTGGGAGCGAATGCCAGCGGAGCTATCCCCGCGCGTACATACGGAATCCACCATCCATCTGCCGGGCGACTGGCACGGGCAGCAGCTGCCGGTTTACCCCCCAGCTATTCGTACAGATACCCATCGATGTTTAGATTGTCCACCTTTGTACTGAATCTTTTTCAGATTATTTAGTCCAGCTGCATTTTCTGCTGTTCTAAGCATGTTGCTATGTTTTGTCCATTATTCCGTCCCGTGCTTTTGTTCTGGTCATTCTACTCTGCTTCCTGTTTGGTCTAGTATATTTTTCCGCCTGAAAGTCGAGGTGTGCCAGCTATTGAGTGGTCTTTACCTGTCGAGTGTTATTTTGCTCCGTTGATCGCATGTTGTGCAAAAGTTTGGCCGCAAACGTCTATTCCAAAGCTAACTACCGTAGTACGAATAAGTGTATCGCAAGAACTTCGTAAGAAAAAACTGGTATTTACCCATTTCTTATAAAGACGGCTGTTTGCTACCATAGTCTTGTTTTTGTTCAGCCAGCAATGGTTTTAAAGTAAGGAAAATCTTACACGATGCACAATGCACATGCCATATTGAAGCAGCTCTCGAGTTTTCTCGTCGTAGTTCGAGGACGCCCTGGGTGTGAAAGATTCAATGGGGTGCTAAACACGGATGGTGAGTGGTGACAGCCTCTTATTTGGTTTACAGGCCAAGTTTTCTGTGGAGAAATGCGACTCTGAATCGGGCGACAGTTACATCATCGAGTGCGAGGGCATTGGTCACTGCCGGGACCGACAGGATCCTGAGACGTAATGTCTGTGACTCTGCTGAACGGAGGGAGACGGTCGACAAGATCAGGACACTGCTGGAGGGAGGGACACGGTCGACAGGTTAGACACTGTTGAACGGACGAAGACTATCGCCAGGGTGTGGACCGTGGAGGCTCGTAGACGGAGCGGGGTCACGGCCTTCGTCCGAGTCTCGTGTCCAGCCGTCAGCTGTGAACCCGCTGGCTGGCAGGGAGATGATGTACGCTCTGCAGTTAACCTCGTCCTGTGATCAGATGTGGGGCTGAGCTGAGCTCGCTGGCGAAAATGCATCCAGTTTTATTTTCTTTGCCGTGTGATCCTGTCTGTCTGTGATAACAACTCACATATTTGTGTTTGGTGTGCCGGATTTGTGATCAGTGTAATGCTGTGTTTTGCTATGTTTTGTGGCACATGCATGTTAAAACCTGATTTTGGTGAATGAATATAACAATATTCCCATCCTCAGGTTTGTTTGCTCTAACTGTTATATAATTTATCACAAACATCTACACAGTCGTGGCCAATCATGGATGAGATCAGCACGACGGGAGAAGAAAAATAATTTATTTTTAGCGAGACAACGCATAAGGACGAATTCGTTCATTCACTTTTTTTTGTCAATTAGCATAGCTGTACTCGAGAAGTAAAGTAGCTTTACCCGAGCTTCTCCGTCCCAGCTACTGTCGACACAGTTTATTCCAGCAACATTCAGAGAGTCGTCCTCGCTGTAATACGACTGCCGCCCTATGGGACTGGCGTATTGGCTGTATTTGTTTATCTGAACTGCCGTCCTAGATGTGTTCGAGTTATCCCCCTTGCCGTGTTTGCCGCGCCGTCCCAGCCCAGTAGGTATTCGGACTGCTTTCTCAGTTGTGTTCAGACTGCCCTCCTAACTGGAGTCTGCAGTGCCGTGTCACCCGTATTTGGACAGCCGTGTCGCCTGTATCTGGCTGTGCTGCTGTCCCAACAGCGTTGCGGACTCGCAGCCCAGTATTGGGACTGTCGTGATGCCTGTATTGGCGTCCCAGCTCTATGACTGCCTGCCCGGCATTCGGTCTGCTGTGTTACCTGTATTGTCCCTCCCAGCTCTATGACTGCCTGCCCGGCATTCGGTCTGCTGTGTTACCTGTATTGTCCCTCCCAGCTCTATGACTGCCTGCCCGGCATTCGGTCTGCTGTGTTACCTGTATTGTCCCTCCCAGCTCTATGACTGCCTGCCCGGCATTCGGTCTGCTGTGTTACCTGTATTGTCCCTCCCAGCTCTATGACTGCCTGCCCGGCATTCGGTCTGCTGTGTTACCTGTATTGTCCCTCCCAGCTCTATGACTGCCTGCCCGGCATTCGGTCTGCCACGGACGGACGGCGTGACGCCGGCTGGAGTCCGTGCCCGGTGCGGCCGCCGCTCTGAATGGACATAAAAGCCGCCGGCCGAGTGGTCGATTGGAACGAATTGAAATATTCCACGCCTTCGCGAACCCTTTGGGCAACGACTTGTTCATGAATCATTTTGACATGTTTCTTTGAAACATTTGTGTACGTACTGGCAAGGAAAAAAAAGAATTAAAAGAAAACCGTGCTTTCCGTGAAGTAAATCGTGATTTAATTTTGATTTACTTTTGAGCACCAAAATATGCACTTTGCGAGTTTGTTAATTATTTTCGAAGAACTGTCCTAAGTCCATCGGCTGTGACTGTTGCAGAAAGGTCGATCGGTGACTTGAGCTACAGGACAGCCTGGGCGAACAGCTGTTCATCTGTTTCACGCTGCCAGCACACGTGGCGAATTGGGTTTCCAATGAGATATTGAGATATCAACAAATTCGGACGCTCCAACATGGACTACGTTTCATGGGCAAGGGATTCGTATCCGGATTAGTGGAGCCACTGGCGGTCGCAGCCGCTAGCAAAAGGGGGGGCCAAAGTCACACTCGCGGGACATAACATTTATCCGTCACCGGGAGGGGGGGGGGGGTGATCGGCTAATTTTTTACGTCCACGAGGCGCCGCGCAGTTGGCATTACTTATGCTTCGTCCATCTCATTCTTCCGTGAAATATTTAAGCTCAATTTAAGGCATAATCACCAGTTCCATTTCCCGTCCCACGGTGCTTCCACCGGTCGGGCCACTGCACCATGACGACGGATCGGTGTAGCATAGGTATACTGGAAGGTCAGGCACGCGGATTTATGACCTTACCACTATGAAACAATTCGGAAAAGTACCTCTTGCTTTGAACAAGCATGTGAAACCCAGAGAGCATTTTCAGATTATGACATTTATACACATAGGTACCTAGTTGTGTGGCTGCGGGAGAGAGTAGGTACACCGACCTCTGGAGACCCCCACAGGTTCCAAGCTTTCAAAATTGGCATCTGAGGGCCGCGCGCGACTCCTGCGGGGCTTCGCAACGGCTCTATTGGGGCTCACTCAACCTGCCTAGTCCTACTGCTAAAAAGACTGGCCCTGAGCCCTAGGGACTTCATCAGTCTCTGCCAGCCCCAGGACCCACACCGGCTCATGGGGTCCCGACGTCGAAATATGAGGGAATCTGCGCGGGACCATCAGGACGTAAAGTAATCTCGATCAGGACCAACGTAAGACTGTGCCGGAGACTGCGTGAGCCCTCTGATCTTCAGAAACCCACCCATGTATGTTTTCACGTAGAGGCCAGTTTAGGGCCCTCAGAGACCAGTACAGGGCCTGCAAACTATAAAGGCCAGTAGTCTGAGACCATCAGAGACCGAGTTAGGCTCTCAGAGGCTAATGTGGGTCCTACTCCTTACTCATTACAGGCCAACATGGGCCCTCAGAGGTCAGCTTGGGGCCCTAAAAGACCGGCATGAGCCGTCGTTGGACCCCAGAGGCCAGCAGAGGGCCCTCAAAGGCCAACATGGGCCCTCCTCAGAGGCCAATGCAGGCCCTTAGAGGCCGGCATCGGGTCTTCAGCAGCCAGTGCGGGGCCCTCATTGGCACCTAAAGGTTCGTCTTGGGACACCAGAGACAGAAATAAGGCCACCAGAGACCGGCGTGAGACCCTCAGACGCCGGTTGGGGCCCCTGAGGCCGGTTAGGGGCCCTCATAGGCCAGATGTTGGGCATCAGAGGTTGATGTAGGCTCTTAGCGGTCAACGTGGGCGCTTGACCGCCGCTGAAGTTCCCTCAGAGGTCAGTATAAGACGCTCAAAGACCGGTGTGGGAGCTATATTAATAGCTGGGCGTGGTTTTTTTGAGCCTCGTGACGATCGAATAATTGCCAGGGCCCCATACACCTATATGGGGGCCCATTGGTTGTTTGAGGGGGGCAAATGATATGATGGCCCCCTTTATTGACCTTTGGGGGGCATGGCCCTGATGCCCCCCCCCCCTCCGCGACCGTCATTGTGTACACAGTACACACATGCCTCTGAGATTACATACTAGCTCACGCAAACTCTATGCAGGCCCCGGAGGTCCCACGCCAATCCCACGAAACCAAGCCAGCATACGGCGTCACCACCGGGCTTCTGAGGTGCACAGCACCAACCCATGAGGTCTTACTTTAGTGTCTTAGAGCCAATCTCCTTTAGCAGGGCCAACCCGCCACTGCCGAAGAGGGTCTCATGCCAGCCATTGCTGGGCCTACGAGAGCCTCAATTAAACCCACGCTGATATTCCATATAAGATCCGGCCATACTCGTGAACCGGTGCCAGCGACGCTGACCGCCAAATTGACACCACCAAATTGACAGAATGCGAAACTGAGCCCACTCATGAGTGAAATTTACGTCCTTTGATGGCGCAAGAAAGAAAATGAAACATACGAAAAGCTTTTCTAGGACTTCTGTTCGATCTTAAAGGTGGGGCCAAAAGATAGTTTGGCCCCACCTTTCAGCACCAAAGGGGGGGCCATGGCCCCCGTGGCCCCCCCCCCCTGGGACCGCCTATGAGTGGAGCCCATGGAAACGGGGTCATGGAGTGACTTGACCAAAAACCTGTGACATCTACTCGCGAAATGCGCTGGCAGCGTGGTAGCAGCGTGCTAGCAGCGGCCCTGAAACACCGCCCAGACCACCACAGCCAGTCAGGACTGTATATGACAGCGGACTACTAGGGACTAGGAAAGCTGACAGCGGGCCGGGCCGATTGTGTGGTGCAGGGCGACCGGCCGAGGTGCAGGACAACGGTGTGGCATTGTCCATGGTGTAGGGCGTCAGGCCGGAGTGCATGACATGACAGGCCTGGTGTATGACAGGGGGCCTCCGCCGGCGGCAGGAGCTGCACGGCGGCAGCTCATGTATTATGGAGCCGCCCCATGGCCCGTGCACCTCCGCTGGGACCGCCTGGCCCGCCGCCGCCACTCGTTAGGCCGGGTAATTAACGGGACCGATTTGTGGCTGTATGGGTGCCTGATGGGTTCCTGGACGCCGAACAGCGCAGTCGGAGAGGCCTATCCATAATAACGCCGGGACTAGTCAGTGCATCTGCTCGGTGTGGGCTTCCCGTGACCGTTGGGGTTCGGTCTATAGGATGCTATTCGGTGTGGGCTACCTGTAGCCCTCTGGGGCCGGCCGAGGTTTGCTCCATGGGATCAGCGGGCGACAGAGATGCACACATGGGCCGCATGTGAATACAGAGCTCTACGGCTTTTCGGGATATCTGCATACCATGTTTTTATCAAGTTTTTTATCAAGGCTTTATGCTGCGTGTCGATTTTTTTGCCACTAGTTGCATCCGTCGTTGATAGGCTAGCGCTAGAGGCGATTCATCTAATGGTGGAGGCTGAAGCACGCCGTGTATAACCCTCTCCAGGCAGGTCGTCCCGAGGACTGATAAATGTTCCGTATTCCTGGAAGATGAATAATGGACAGGCATTCCGTCAGACCTGTTAGTGCCCGTCTTCATGGGATTCAGGATGTCGTTCTAGCCGCGGTAGGTGGTCCGACTTTTGCTGAAACGTAATAGTTTTATTCAGATTCACTCCAAATAAACATTAAATAGGTATGTGCTACATCCCGTTGACTACTGGGCTTCCGATTCCGCAGTTACGATATTACATATATGCATCTGTTGCAGTTATATTGGTTTGCAACCATCAACGGTGCTAGTAATTGATCGTGTTCTGTGACGGGTGCCTGTCTAAATTTATCTTCTCGGCAGGTCAAGTAGAAAACGCACGCAGCCTGGTATGCGTGCACAAGCCGTTACGGACGTTGTCCTGTTCCATGCATGTGCGGCGTGCGCGGTCAGAGACGCAATCAGATCAGTGATCAGTCGGGGCCAAGGCCAATTAGACATTACCGGGGAACAGGTTATTCTTGTGCCTGGGACGCCCTTGGGAACATCTCGCTTTTTCGGTATCCAGTAACATTTATGGCTCTATATGTGGCGAGCCGAGACTAAACTGACACGCACAAACTGCACAGCGAAATTCATTAAAAAGCTAGACGGGGACTTTTGTGAGTGTGACTTAGCATCGGGCTGGTA